GGCGTGGTGATGGCATAGACTGGACAACACGTTACACACCAAAAAATGAGTCCATTTTGCATAGAAGAATTGAGGCAGCAAGATCATGTCAAATTACTGTATTCAACGACAACGAATGGCAGGTACAAGATTGTGACGGTATCTACACCGTTAAACTATTTGATGTTGATTGCACTTGCACATGTAACATACCACAACTCCAAAAAATACCCTGTGCACATGTGCTTGCGGCTTCTTCTAATCAGCCGGGAGGTGCTAGAATTCCCAGAAATCGGTATTGCTCGCCTTGGTATTCAACAGCTCACTATCAAAAGACATATAGTGAGAGTTTTCATCCACCTGATGATAGTCGGTATTGGCCTGAATATAATGGACCACATATAGTTCCACCTCAGTACCGGAGACAAGCAGGTCGACCACGATCTGTGCGAATTAGGGGAACCATGGATCAAGGGCGAGAAGGAGTGGTCAAGCACAAAAAATGTAGTCTTTGCAAACAACCGGGACATACTCGACCTCGTTGTCCATCTAGACACAATAGATAGCAACTAATTGGTAATTTATATCATTTTTTTATTTTTATATACTTTAATAAAGAAACTGAATTACTATATGATTGATTATTAACATGTGTATAATTATATGTGCAGGTTTGTACACCATGGATCCTGGGCCGGTTAGTGATGAGGTCTTATATGACCAGGCTCAGCATCGTTCACATATTATATCCTGTACAGAGGTAATTCAGTTACTTTATAATTGTAATATTTGCATTTACATAATATTGCATTCTTATACTATCATTGTCTATACAGAGAGGTCCGAGTATCGTTATGGTTGATCATAGCCTCAGCCATAGCCGTTGGCGGTTAGAGGATGAGCGTATCATAGCAGCTGTGGGACGGGCCGGCTTCTTGACTTGTTCAAAGCTTCGTTGGATAAAGCTCGATTGGCCCCTACTGATTGCGTTGATGGATAGATGGAGACCTGAGACCAATACTTTCCACTTCCGAATGGGTGAGGCTACCATTACTCTACAAGATGTATCCGTGATACTCGGTCTCCGTATAGATGGTCCGTGCATTACCGGCACTGATAGTGATGTATGGCCTCGAAGATGTGAGGAGTTGTTAGGTGTAGCTCCAGAGACTATGCCTAGAGGAACTATTAAGTTGAAGTGGTTGAGAGAGACCTTCTCAGTACCGTTGCCTGTTGATGCCCCACAAATTTTGGTTGACCAACATGCACGTGCATACATTATGCACATGATTGGTACTATATTATTTCCAGATTCAAGTAAAGATAAAGTGCATGCGAGGTATGTGTATTTATAATATGAATCTGTATTTCATTGAATTAGCTTATTTTAATAAATTGGAATATTGTGAATATGCTAGGTGGTTACCACTCCTCGAGGACTTGGACGTATGTGGTACAAAATCGTGGGGTAGTGCTGTTTTGGCGTATTTATATAGAGAGATGTCAAAAGTGGCACTTATGCAAAACAGTGAGCTTAAAGGGTGTCTAAGCTTATTGCAAGTATGGGCATGGGAGAGACTTCATTTGAAGCCAAGACTATGCACGCATTTACAATTAGATGGACAAATTCCACTGGGATGCAGGTATTGTATTTTTAGTGTAGCGAATATAATTGTAGTTATCATTGTGGTACTAAATGTATGATAAATATTTTTTTGTAGATGGAATGTCGAAAAATGCTATGACGAGACCCCGGCTAGACAATTAGATTTCTACCGGAATGAGCTTGACCGTATGAAGATTTTTCAGGTAATTCTCACCGAAAAACATGCGTTTTTTCTTCTACATACTGAAAACCCAATTCTGATATGCAACTGCAATAAATTATTGTAGATGGAATGGGAGCCCTACACCCAATTTCTACCTCAGCTACCCCCAATATGCACAGAATACCAAGTTGTATGGAGAGCTAGAGTTCCTCTTATATGTTTGGAGATAGTAGAAATGCATGTACCGGACCGCGTGCTTCGACAATATGGTCTTGCACAACATGTTCCGCAGTTTGTTGAAAAGATAGAGAGGAAGGCAAAGAAAGGAGGCCAACAAATAAACTGGATGATCGTGCATCAAGCTTTTATACACAAATGGAATGATAGGCATTTTTGTATTGTCAACCAAATTGAACCAACTCCTCGGGAATCAGATTACTACACTTGGTATTGGGACATAACCCGAAGATGGATACTTCATTCGACCACAATACCGGTTGAGTCGCAAAGAGGATATGTGCCCCGGGGTATAGATGAGAGAGAATTAGTAAGTATTTTCATATTTTGATTTAAGTCCATTTTTATTGGTACTTTATGTGTTGAAAAATTTGCAGGTATCAGCAATAGATGAAGTTCAAACTCTTGCAAATCGTGGTTTGGAATTGGCTCGAGCAGGTACGAAAAAATTAAATCTCAAATTTACATTCTGTAATATCAAATTTAATATGAAATTTTGTTTTTGAACTATCTATCGCAGCAGATAGAAATCCCGAAGCACATGAACATGTATCAATATATCAGGCTATAATGCAGAGGCTTCAACAAGCCTTACACCGAACTCACGAAGATCGTCATGATGGACGGGAGGTAAGGTCATTCGTATATACACGACAACAGCGACAAAGTCGAGGACGACGCAGAAATAACGATGAAGCTGGACCTTCCCAACGTGTCGACGATGGAGCTGGACCGTCACAACCACAAACGCAACCGGATCACGAACTCGTCGAAGGGCGGTATGGAGGACGACGAAGACAAAGGAGGAGGAGGAGAGTTCTTGGATGTATGTAAACTACAGGTTATATACATTACAAAACTATTTAGGGATGTGATTTTTGGATTTGTAGTCGATAATATCATGTGATATGTTTGATTTCTAAGTGGGTTTGTGGTGTTATTATGCTGGATTTGTTAGTGGGAGTTTGTGGTGTGATGTGATTTGTTTGATTTGAAATGAGTATGTGGTGAAATCAGTATGTAATTTGTTAGTGGGAGTTTGTGTGGATGTATGCACAGGGACTACATGAAATGCAGTGGTGAAATGAGTATGTGACTTGTTAGAGGAAGTTTGTGTTGATATATGCACAGGAACTACTTGAAATGTAGAGAAAATTGCACAAAAATGTGCACAGCGAGTGCACGGGACTGCTAGTCCCGTGCACTTGGTGTTCAGCAAACGGGTAGTGCTCTCTGCTTAAAAGTCGGGACTGCTAGTCCCGACTTTTAAGCAGAGAGCAGCTGCTGGAACACCAAGTGCACGGGACTGATAGTCCCGTGCACTGGGTTTCAGCAGCGGGTTATGTGCACAGCGAGTGCACGGGACTAGCAGTCCCGTGCACTTCGGAAATCACCCTCCGCTGCAAAACCGACCCTTTTCTCCTGAAAAGGGTCGGTTTTGCTAATATTTTTCAGTTTAGGTCGATTTTGCCTATTAAATTTTAAAAATGGTTGGTTTTAAAAATTTCTCCTAAACTTAACGGGGTTTTGTAATATTTTGGAAGTTATGGAAGATGACTTTGATATTCGTCCAAAGTTAAGGGGGATTTTCTTGTTTAAAAGAAGTCAGAAACACAACAATAAATTTAATGATCCAATATACCAATTTCAATATGTTAATTAGGCAACAAGAAACTCAAAGCTACTAAAATGAATACTAACTTAAAATTTATTTTGCAAAAGCCAGCATAACATTACATTTTTTTTTTTTTTTTTTTGTTGGGAAAAAATAGAGTTCCATATTGGTTCAATTCTAATCTAGATTTTAGCCGACTGATTGTGAACTCGTCACGCACACCCAAATTGGTACTGTAAAAAAAGCCCATCCCAACCCAGCCCATATCGGTGTAGGCCATGCATAGTAGCCCTGTCAAGTCTAGTCGTAGTTCCAGTAACATGTCTTTCAATCAAATCAAACCGTGCCGTACAAAATTTGTTGGGGTCATGTCAATATCAAAAGACAGTGATTAGACCGGCCATTGTCCTTACACTATTTCTATTATATTTACACTTATTTTATTTTTGTTAATAGTATTTCTTCCAAGATCTTTTACAGATTCCCCTTCTACACTGCCGCGTTTATTATCTGCAGCAGTAAATGAAATAAATAAATAAATAAGAATAAACATATATAGTAGACAGGGTCAACTGGAGGGATTTCTTTTTCCTTATTAATCGCTAACACTCAGTAATAAACCCTTGAAGAATTGTAATCGCTAAATACAATGTATTCAGCTTAATTGCATTTAAAATACCTTATAATTTCTCATTCTTCGAACTATACCCCCTCACTTGTCGTTGGTAGCATTTATATACTCGAAATTTTCTAAAAGTTTGTATTTAATACCTGCAATTATGCCAATGTGAGGATTTCTCTCCAAAATTCTCATGTAACAATCACCATAATTTGCGTTAAATATATTGTTAAACGAATCAAAATTCTATTTTTAAATTTTTGGAGGAGAATTCCCACGTTTCATAACTGGCGATAAAATAGCTAAATTTAAATATTTTAGAGTATATAAGTGATAAAAAAAGAAGTGAATGTATAGAAGTGCAAAGTGGCTAAATTTAAATATTTTAAAGACATTCATAAATTATGAGCTCATAAGCCCTTGCATAATGGAAAATGGTACAGGCACACCTTGTGTCACACCCCCTCTCTCAGCTACAGTACACGGGATCTACACATGAGGTTTTTTAATCCCATGTGTGGACCCCATGTATTATAGCTGAGAGAGGGGGTGTGACATAATGTGTGTTTGGTGATGTGCCTGTAGTGCCACCCTTGCATAATGTTACGTTCTACTCCCCCCCTCTTTTTCTACAGAGGACCTCCATGGGAAATTCCTCCTCCACTCGCTGTAGCAACACTATTATTGGGGTGGCAGTGATTTGTCGCTATTGGTTTTCAATGTACTATGAAAAGACGTAGCTGGGCCTCTCAACAAACTTCGCGTGCGCTGTTATTGCCAGCAAAAGATAATAATAAAAAAAAAGTTAAAAAATTTTCTTTTTCTTTCTATTTGTACCTCTTTAAAGTCCGGGCTTCCTTAGCTCTTCTTGCTGCTTGACGTGCTATGGTGCTGGATCTCTGTAAGTTTTTTTTTTCCCCTTACTACTATTTGTGGATTGATAAGTTGGTTTTCTATTTTGTGATTTTTTGTGAAGTTTGGAGTTTTCATTACTCATCAATTGATGCTAATGTGGAAGGATACGCTTGAATCTTGCAAGTGTAAGGGTAAATTGCTTAATTGCCTTCAAAATTTTGGTTTTGGGGTCCTCTTAAGATAACTCAACAAGGGTTCCAATCCTCTAAAATTCTAATGCCTGATGTTTGTTATAAATGAAATTGCAAAGTATGTTAGAGATGTGGTATATGGGGTTTTAATAGTTTATAATTAGAAGGACAAAACTTAGGAGGATGAAGCCAATAACATGGCAAATAACTTCTAAAAAATTGAGAAAGGGATGAAATTTGAAAAGAAATGAGAAAGGGGGAGGATATCTAAGGTAACTGTGGGACTTACTACAGTTTCAGTTGCAATTAGACCCCCACTTCATTATATTTCATTTGATCGACAAAACTGAAGGTTTCTGATTAGCCCACATCTTCCAATTCAAGTACGCTTAGATACCTCTGCCGTCTTAAATGCGTGATATGGAATGTTATGTGCCTTCCTTTTTTAAAAAAACTTTTGATTTCTATATAAATGTAAATCTTTGTATGATAAAGAATGTGCATGTCTCTATATATATAGATGTGAACACGGATGGAAACGTATAAAAAATAAATAAATTACTCGTTAATTTAACACATTGGATGATCTTTAACAGTGCTGAATGAAAGTAAGAGATTCATGTAGACGATATCTAAAGTTTGAGTTTTGAATGTTGGTATAAATGGCATAATCTAGAATTCTCTGTATATTAGGTATCATGCATATGGTGATTGTTTATTGTTGATATAGGCATGCGTAATTCATTTAAAATCGGTATCATCTTCGCAAGAAGAAAAGTTGTAGATTATTTAGAACTGATGTTACATGTACATGCCAATGTCATAGTTACAATGGATCATCATGTACACATATAATGTATATATGCAAGAACTATTAATAACTGCTGATTTGTAATGCATTGTGTAAATGAATTAGGATGGTTATAGTGGAGAAAAGTACTATGTTAACATTGGAGAGAGATTAAGCACGATGTAAGATATTTGAGGAGATATTGGAAAGGGGGAGGAATTCATGGTAAATGAAACTTATTACATTTTCTATCACAATTAGACTCCCGATTCAAAATATTTCTTTCAATCAACAAAACTGATAATTTCTGATTAGCCCACATCTACCTTTTCTAGTACACTTACCCTATAATATTGAATAAAATTTGTTGATCGACTTGGCCACATTTCCCATTTTCAAGTACATGATTTACAAGGTTTTGTTCTATTTTTACTTCCCATCTCGATATCAAGTTTAATTCTTTTTTTGATAGAATGTCAAGTTTAATTCTAGTAGGGTAAAGAATGAGTATATCTGTAAGAAGTTGATACTGTTTCTGTTACTGACTGGCTTGATTAAAATAGGCCCAATGAGTACGCATGAATGTGGATCGAGACCCAAAAGAAAAGAAAGATGAAATGGTTGTTAATTTAACGTATAGCAGTCTTTTACAGTGCTGAACAAAAGCAAAAGATTCATGCAGCCAACGTCTAAAGTTTGAGAAAATGGCTTTCTCAACATTGTTATGAATGCCGTATATCTAGAATTATCTTTTTATCAGCATTATCAGGAACACATAGTTTTTTTTTTTAAATTTCTTTCTTCTACATTTGCATCTCATTGAAAATTGTCTTGTTGCACATGGAATATGAACATTAAAACTCTACTTCATATCAATCTCAATTTCAGATCAATTATGACAAATGAAGGAAAGGCAACGATGGAGCACTGAAGAGGACGCTCTCTTGCGTTCATACGTGAAACGCTACGGTCCTCGAGAATGGAGCCTCGTATCGCAACGAATGAACGTCCCATTCCATAGAGACGCCAAATCTTGCTTAGAGCGCTGGAAGAATTACCTTGCCCCTAGCATCAAGAAAGGCTCGCTAACAAAAGAAGAACAGCTCCTCGTCATCCAACTCCAAGCAAAGCACGGTAACAAGTGGAAAAAGATTGCAGCCGAAGTCCCAGGCCGCACTGCCAAAAGACTCGGTAAATGGTGGGAAGTCTTCAAAGAGAAACAGCAAAGGCTCAAACAAAACAGTACTAAAGGGGCAATTACTAATTTCATCGAGCCAAGAAAATACGATCGCATACTCGAAAACTTTGCGGAGAAATTGGTTAAGGAGCGGTACGACGCGCAATTTCTCATGCCCACTCCGATATTTCCTCCGTGGCTCTCGAAGCCGGGTTCTCCTTCGGTGACTCTCAGTCTCTCTCCTTCCCCTAATTTGGTCGACAATCGACAGAATATTTCCTCTGGGTCTCCTAATTCGATAGTGTATGAGCTATCAGAGTGTTGCAGAGAATTGGATGAAGGGTATCAAGCACTGGCTTCACATAGGAAAGAGAGTTCGTGGAGGCTGAAGAGAGTAGAGCTGCAGCTTGAATCTGAGAAAGCAAGTAAGAGAAAAGAGAAGGTGGAGGAGACTGAGGCGAGGATAAGGGCGTTGAGAGAGGAGGAGGTTGTTGCTTTGGATAGGATTGATGCTGAGTATAAAGAGCAGATATCGAGTTTGAGGAGAGATGCAGAGGCGAAGGAGATGAAGCTGGCGGAGCAGTGGGCTGCGATGAATGCGAGACTGAGTAAGTTTCTTGAGCAAATGCAGCATTGAGGAGGCTTGTCAGTGGTACTTTTGGTGTATCCAATTGTGTTGTTTATATGTTTAGCTTGCTGAAGAGAGTTATGGATTCCGATGTTGTATGTTTCTGTTTCGGTGTAGTATCTATGCTTTACTGAGCTTTTTTTTGACTGATAGTTTGCCTTTATTAGTCATGTTACGTGATATTTGCAGTTTGGGTTGCAAACTGATTGGATATGATGCTTATCGTGTCCAAATCTGCGTACTAGTTATGAGTACGGTACATATACAAATTGTTAAAATGTCATATTGTGTTTATATAGGTGCTGGAGCCTCAGGTGTTTATGAGAGTTATGTATTATGGTGTCATATGTTTCTGTTAAAGTGTAATATTTATGTCGTGCATTCTGAGCTTTTTAACTGACAGTTTGCTTGTGTGATATTTTCAATTAGGTTTGCAAACTGATCTGATACAACACTTTAACATTTTCGTGTATCTTTACCAATTACGGGAGTTCATGAAATCTGATGATGTATGTTTGTGCTCCATGTAACGGTGAGATCTTGAGGAGAGAAAAAGAGAGAGCTTAGAGAGATTTTACAAGAGAGAGGTCAAATTTTTTTGGGTAAAAAAAATCATAGCTTCATCTTTGGGACGAGCTTGTATGTTGTACAAGTCGTCGGTGTTCTTTTAATGGTGGAATCTCTCTTCACCCCTCCCGTGAACGTAGGCAAGTTTATCGAAACACGTAAATCTCTTGTCTTTACTATTTTTTCTGGGTGTTGGCTATTGCTTGTTGGTTTCCTCGATATTCAGACCTAGATCTGATATTGGGAAGAGTATATATCTCACTTTGTTGAGATATATTACTTCTATTCTTGTTTCCTTTATGAAACGGGAATATAAATGTTGACTTGAGATTTTATGAAAACAAAAGTCAGGATTTTCTCTCGGGTGATATCGCTTCCGCGGCGTGAGGACGTGACTCTGCACCCAACATCTTTAATATTTCTTACTTTTTCTTCATCAAACGCGTAAAAAAGTGGCTGAATTTGGGACTAATAGAAGTTGTTCACATTCCGGCCAGGCCAGATTCTGTCGGGTCTACTTGTATCCAAACGGTACCCGGTAATTTCTAGCAACCAAGTCAAATTTTGGCCGCTTTCTTTCTGCCTAAGGTTTATCTTAGGGGTGGCAAACGGGTCGGGTCGGGTCGGGTCGGGTCGGGTCATAGTTGACCCGACCCATATAAGTGTGACCCGACCCGACCCGTTTAATAAATGGGTCAATGCGACCCGACCCATTTATTAAACGGGTTACCCGACCCGACCCATATAACCCAAATGACCCGTTTAATAACTTATGGTTTTTTTCCACTTACTTGAATAATCAAGTCTATAAATCCGAATGACCGATTCAAATTTTCGGATGATTACATAGAAACATTTTGCAGATTTTGTATATAGGAATCTCACAGATTGAGCTATTTGTATCATGTCACCTTTCTCCTTAACAACTTGTGCAAGCTCTGTACCGATAGATATAGATGCGCAAACAGATGAAACATATTTGAATATTTTGTGAGAGTATATACGCAAATTTTGAGGAAATACATCACACTGCTTTACTGTGTATCAACACACAAGCTCGGGCAGCACCGCAAGCTATCAATCTGCTGGAGTTTATGCGTAAACACTAGGACTTGCATAATTTGCCACCCAGACTAATTCAAATTATATACATTTCCAAATCTATGTGATTCAAGCCAAGGCCTATATATCAGAAGTACAGAGGCAGAACAGAGCCAGTAAGAACAATAGCACCTAAGATTTTACAGGCTTAAAAAAGAACAGAAAAATCTCACAACACAAACATTAATCTGATGATGCCTGCATACAGCATCACATCCAATACAAGCAATGAAGAGCAGTAAAGGAAAACATATGTAGACATTATACAATAATATAGCATGTAGTTATCCTTCTTTTCCGCATTTATTTTAGTTCCCTCTCTTCTTTAACTCTTTGCAGTATATTCATGTACTCTTTGCAGTCTGGTGCCAGGAACCCATAAGTCTTCATGAGGCAATCAAATGTGGCCTGCACACAGAAAAAAGCAACAGGATTTTAATAGATTGGTATTAGTCTCAATATTAATACCATAATATCACTTGTGAAAGAACAATTACCATAATTTGAATAGACTCCTGCCAAAATGCCAATTTGATAATTTAGCCCAAAAAAATTTACAATGTATCATGTACAAAACATCCGTACCAGAGAAACCCACCTCTTGAATCCAAAAGGTTAAAACCTCACCTTAAAAAACCTCACCTTTAAAAAAAACCAACATGAATGGAAATCCAATAGTCATACACATCAGATCAAAGATACTGATATTAATCCACAAAAGCAGCATTACGAACACCCAACCTCACCTATTATCCGAATAAATAATCAAAAAAAGTTGAATTCGAGACATTACCAAATTATTTCTGCAGCCATGACATAGTGACAAGCACACTCATTAAATGAGTCCAACAAGGTTGTAACTTACCTGTTAATACTCTTGACTATATACGAAAGTTCGCTCACCTCTATTCAAAATTTCAAATCATGAAGATATTCAAAATCTAGATGCAAGTATAGGTAACAAATTAAATAAAAAAATGTATCTAGTAAATTTGACCTGACCTGAAAATCTAAATTGAGGAGCCAATGAAAACCAGAAAATTCTTATAAGAGTATAGATTACAATTAAATGTGAAGGAATAAGTTACTCAGTTTAGTATATTTGTATTTGTAGTTTACTTATTATCTCGTATTTCGTACTATATATAGCGGTACTGCGTGATCTTTCTCTCAATAGATTCCTTAAAATATACATACCTTTCCCCCCAATAACTTAAATAAACACAAGTTCCATGAAAATTAATCTCTATTCCTAGGCTACATAGTGGATGACCTGCTGAGATATATACTAAGGAAATAACAAGCCTCTCTATGCATTATTAACACAGTCCACAAACATAGGGATCCCTTTGATCTCTCTCACTTTTTTGCTGTTCTCCTCTTTAATGAAAGAGAGTTGATTGGTGACTAGAGAAGCAAAAGATAATGTTGCTAGCTTTATAATCCCTAAAAAGATTGCCTTCTCTTTGTTAAACTTTCAGCCCCACTCCACAGTAGCAATCTTGTGTATCGTTTGATGGCCATATTTGGAGAAGGCAAGGTGTTTGTTGATTATTGGAATTATTTCATGACAATGATGTAAGCATCAATCAGCAAATGTTGCATTTTCAGATGAATGTTTTCTGTATTTGTCACAAAACTAGCATGATATATAAAATAAAGAGCAAAACCTCTCTTGATGCCCAAGTTAAAACGACATGCATTACAAGTTAAAACAGCTAGTAGGTTCTTACCTTCATCTACCGCATCATAGTATGAGAGATTCATACTAGGTAATTGCAGTGAATTTTCTAAGTGCTACTAGGTAAGTTAGAGAAACTAAGTCCCCAGGTCCACTACAGAAGAAAAAGACATCATTTATACCACTTATTATCGGGGGGGTGCAGACCACAGATACATGCAACTTCTCATGACGAGTAGAACAAGTGGGCTTGGAAAATAAATGTAACCTTGATGTTCATGTATTGGGGGGAGGGGATGCAGACCACAGATACATGCAACTTCTCATGACCAGCAGAACAAGTGAGCTTGGAGACCACAGATACATGCAACTTTATACTTAAAAAATATTTCAACTACTGCTGACCTGCAGTTTGTATTTGACCAAGTAGGCATATTCACAGAGAAATTAGAAGAAACAAGCTATGAGAGGATACATTATGGAAAGTGAAAAATCTTGTTTCGAGTAGAAGTTTCTGAATCCCATGAGATACAATAACACATATGTTTAATTAAATTTTCTATATATGCCCAAATGATTAACATTTACAGTACTGCAACATGTGATTAACTTTTCTGAATCCCATCAGCTGAATATGATCATCCAATCAATGGTATGCATTTGATTACTTATTAGAGAGAATATATCATAGAAAAGTGCGACATAGAGTAATTGCTGTATCCTAACATGAAGTTCAAAAATAAATCTAAATCCGCTAAATACGAAAATCACTGGGAATGTGATATTACACGATTAATGCAGAGAAAAAAAAAGGAAATTCAAAATAGAACTAATCCACCATATGCCAGAAACAATAAAAATATAAATAAATAAATGAATACCTAAGGCTTCAAAGGTCATCACCTTAAATTTGATTGGGAAAAAAAAGGACTAAATAAACGCATCGACAATATCACCTGAAGTTAGATCAAATCAGTAAAAAAAAAACCGAAAAAATAAAAAAAAATTACCTGAAGTTGATCTGAGAGACAGTGGCGCTCAAGAGGAGAGAGAGGATCTAGGGTTCGAGGATCGCTGCCGCTCGCCGATCACTGCCGCTCGCCGATCACTGTCGCTCGCCGTTTGCCGCCGCTCGCTGTCGCTTGCCGCCGCTCGCCGTTAGCCGCTCACCGCTCGAGCTTCGTGATGGGATCTAGGCCGCTCGTCGCTTGAGCTTCGTGAGGATCTAGGGTTTTTCTTTCTTCTGCAGCTTTTCTTTTCTTTCTTTCTCTAGAGCGGCGCTTACGAGGGTCGAGGGAGTGAGGGAACGAAGATTGTTACACGGGTCGGGATTTTTGTTGTACGGGTCAATAGGTCAACCCGAATTGACCCATTTAATAAATGGGTAAATTTGGGTTGACCCGTTTATGACCCGACCCATATAATTTGACCCGTACCCATTATAAATGGGTCGGGTCGGGTCGGGTTAATGGGTCGGGTCATAAATTGCCACCCCTAGTTTATCTTTGCTATCATCCCTAACAACAAAACTTTTTGTTTTTCAGAAGAACCAACTGAAGTCATGAAGAAGGACAAGTTACAATTCTATGTCCCCTCACAATTAATCCTTATCCTTAGCGAGATTCAAGACTTTATGGAAGCAAGGGTATTCTTTGTATCCACAACTACAAGTTCGCCAATGAATATAATTATCGAAATCCAGGCCTTTTTTGTTTTCTTGCATTGGCTTCTGACCATAACACCGGTCAAAATATTCACGTTTATGAGATTTGCTCTGATGGCCATACCTATTTGAGAACCATAAAAATCCCGGACTGCTACCAATTCATTTTACCTTCT